AATTTACTTGGACTGGGATCCCGTTATCAGTGTTTATATGAAGAGAACTTGGGGCTAGATGAGAGGGACTCTGAGGGTCTCTGGAGAAGCTTCTAGTCTTTCCCGTTGGGCAAATGACCAATCTTCTTCCTAGGTAACTCATTAAACCTGGACCTGGCTCCTAGTTCCAGGCTGACGGAGGAAAAGGGGGTGTGTATGTGTGTACTACTTGCTTTTGTTTCCTCTAGAATTTCACTACAGCTTAATGTTTCACTTTCATTTACTTAATTTCTTCTAACAGTCGGACAGACCTTGCCAACTGAGGTTGAACGATCTAAGTGTCAGAGATGCTCAGTCTTTGCTTTCGTCCACCCTCCGCCACTAATCAGCTGTCTTTGACTTTTCCCCTTCTCGTTTACTTTCTTCTCTGCTGCCTGCTCAGCAGCTCCTCAGTTTCCTTTATGGCTCTGATAGAGAGCAGTGACCCATGAGTGTGAATAAGGGACCTTTCCTCTGCTAAGCCCACGTATCATCTCTCTTTTAAATCCTCCTTACCATTTCCACTCCCCGGTCCATCCTTTCTCCTGCCCTACCCCATTCTTTATGCTTCCTCTCAATGCGTCTGCCAGTGGGACACAGAGCCCTGGAGGAGAGAGAAGGCACCCCGTCACTAAGCCTCTGGGATAGAGATTGCATTTCATGAAGTCTCACCATCCTCACCCATGTTTGGCAGACAACCAGGCCTGCAAAATGTTTCACCAATAAGCATTAAAGAGAGAAAGAAAAAAATGTTTGTTTGTTTAATATCAAGAGCAGTTCATATCCAATCCCAGAGGGTCTGAGCCAGTTAGGGACTGAGCTTAATCAGAGGGCTTGGGCTTCCATATGCCTGCCAAATCATAATAATAACAATAATAACATAATAGTGCTAATGCTCGTGCTACATTTGGAGCTTGAAATGGTCAGCGACATTTCCCCTGATGAGGTTAAACAGCCTGGCGCGGGGACTGCGCATTTGCATAATAAAGATCAGAAGTCACCGCCTTCTACATCTCTCCCAGCACTGGCCGCCCCGTGTCCTTGATTCAGGGACACCACATCCTAATGTACTTCCATATGCGGCCCTGTGCAGTGATTCTAATCTTTGGCTTGCATGTGAAATGTCAGCTTTTTTTTTTTTCTTTCGTCTGGGAGAACAACAAATTACGTTTTTAAATGAGAAGGTGCGGCCTGTAATGGATAATATAATCTGAAAATGCAGAGGCAATATCTGTGACCCATGGTGCTAACCTAGCAAGCTCTAGTCTATTTTTCCTGGCTATCAGTTGATAGAAAAATATCACTTTCGATATAATAATTAATCATCAGTCAAAATGGATATCCCCATTGGTTCCTTGCCTCTCAGACAACCCTGCATAGCTTGACAATAAATCAGGGAAATACAGTCTTTAATATCCAATGGAATGTATTTCCAGGCACCCTCTTTCCTATATAAAGCAACTTTGCAGAAGCTATCTATCATCAGCTGAGGGGGAAGATGCTCCCAAGCTGCCATTTGAAGGAAGGAAAATGCAGAGCCCACAGAAAGGGAGGCAGTGAGTTCCAGATGGTGACTGTAAACCAGTGAGAAACATCTTCTCGCCATGGCGGGCTCCTGCCTGGGATAGACACAGCCCCGCCCTCCTTTGCTGTCTCTCCTCCATTCTGCCCGCTGCTGGGGCCCTGTCACAGACTGGCAGGTCATGCCCAGGCCTCACTCACTATGACTGACCAGTCCCCCACGTCCTATCATCCTCCCATTCACATGGTGGCTGCAAAGTAATCATTCCAGACCATTTTTCTGCTTGATTCCTGGCTCTCTCTGGATCCATTGAAATATTTACAATACCTAACGTGCTCCAAGAAAATAAATGATCTGCCAAATATGGTGGAAGGAAAAGCAGACTTGGAAGTCAGGGTGGGTTAAAGGAATCTGAGGACTCCCTTAGATTGACTTGTTATTGGGCTGACCTCTCCGTGGCCTTGTTCTTCTCATGTGAAAAAGCAGGTGTTGTTCATGGTTTTCAATCCCTGTTTGTTGGAATCCTGAGTTTCTGAGGCAACGCAACACTGTGAGGCAAGAGAAAGGCTGGGAGAAGGAAAGAGGAGGGAAAGATAACCCCAAACTTCCCCTGGAGCATTCAGCTTTTGTTGATTTACTGATCCGATTTTTAAAAGCCACTGAGTCAGAAGACCCTGAAAGGCACTCCAGTTTGTAAACCCTGAAGTTCTGTAGCTCAGTACTGCCCACTCCATCCCTGGGTGTGGATGTCACGGGGGAAATGCCACTTTAGCTTGGGGCCTATAGTCACATGTCTTATTTCCTAGACCAATGGTTCCCCAACAGGGGTGATTTTGCCCACCAAGGGACATTTGGCAATGTCTAGAGACATTTTTGGTTTGACAACTGGGGAGGAGGGAGCTACGGGCATTGAGTAGAGGCCACGAATGCTGCTAAACATCCTACAGTGCACAGGACAGCCCCCCAAAATAAGCAATATCCATCCCCAGATGGTGATAGCATGGAGGTTGAGAAACCCTGTGCCAGGTGATGTAACCTGAAGAAAAGCTGCTCACAGGGGAGCTTCTGAGTTGGAAAGACTCCACTCAGCTTTCCTTCTGCCCCAGCACAGATCTAGAGGGAGGTCTATTCTTGGTTCCTCCCTGCCGAGAACTCCCTGCAGCTTTGGATCTGAGACACAAGAACATTTCCTGCACTGATGACAGTCCCCCATAGAACTCTTTTTAATTCAGTTCTAGGAGGGAAACTTACATTGCCTGATTCCAAAGCGCTCTGGAGCTGATCCAGGTGCCATATATTCAACTTTAATCTGCACTCAGAGCTGGTAATAGTAACACAGGTATTGAACTTTTCACTTACAAATGTAACACATACCTACTGATTACTTACTACTTACTAGGAATAGTGGACTTGAAGTTATGTACTAGGAATATAGCAATGAACAAAACAAAGTCCTTGCCTTTATAAAGCATCTGTGTCTGGGGAAGGCAGAAAATAACCACAGATAAATATATGACTCAAGTGGTTACAAGTGTTATCAATATTATTAAACAGGGTAGGAGCATAGGTTGATTAGAAGTTGCAATGATCAGGAGAAGGCTTTCTGCTGAGGCAGCACTGGAAGAAGTTCTGAAGGCTTGTGGGTGCCTGAGGAAACAGGTTTCTAGACAACAGGAGAGCAAGCGAGCTGCACAGAGCTGCCCAGAGTGCTCAGGGCAGCACAATGAACACGCGGGTAGAGGGCAATGTCAGAGGGCCAAGACATAGCCCAATCAGATGTCCATATTTTATTCTGAGAAAGGTGAAAAACCATTAGAGAATTCAGAGACGGTGACATGAACTGATTTGTTTTGAAAGCAAAAAAAACTCCGGAACACGTCTGACAGACTATAGTTATCCTGGTGGCCCCAACCATCATGGGTAGAACAGGCATCTCAAATTGCTTCCATTTTCTTTTTGCATTTAAAGAACAGAGTAAACAAACAAAACACTAGTCTTTGTTTTATCACAAAGGCGCTCCTTATGTGCTAAACCAGGAGCCAGAGATGACCACCCCCTGTTCTGCACCACACCAGGGCAGATAGAGCAGAGTGTTCAGAATACTGTGAGAAGTCTGGAGGTGTTCTCAAGTTTAATAAATCAAATTAATGCAAATTAATTTCACTTGAATAAAATAAGTTTCTTGCCACTTTTAGAAGAGGGATAGGCTGGAGTGAAATGAAGTCAGAACACACAGTCTGTGTCCCAGAAAAGCTATGATCACTATTAATACCGGAAATCTGAGACAGGGAGAGGGGATGGTCATCATCTGAAATTTGTAGTGGTTTTTGTTTCCGCATTAAAACCAATGGTGACTCTATAATAAAATGAATGGTGCATTAAAATGAATGGTGACCCTATAATAGGTTTCATTCTGAAAAGGCAGCTAATTCTAATGTGTTATATTAGGTGAACATAATTAAGAGTTATATTCAGATCTGTTGTTTTGACCCCAGATAGTATCTGTGGAACCACTGTTAAATCAAAGCAATCTTCATAAGGTTATGAGATCAGATAGATGACCTTCGTCCATGAAGCCTTCTTCCTGACATTCCCTGAAAAGACAAGTAAAGACTGTTCTTCAAACTGTGCTAGTTTAATAATGTTTTTCAGCCTGAACTTTGGCAAAAGGCAATATGTCTGCTAGCTGTTGGGATACACAAATCTTTCCATCAAGTGTAAATGGATGGGAGGTCTCAGATCATTTACACCTGATGAAGAGGCTTGCTTACCCCATCTGGTGTTTATGGCCTTGTATAACATGTATCTGTTTTCCTAAAGATGTGTTCAATCAAGCTCTCAAAAACTTTCCTGACTTTGGATCCATTTCCATGGTGGATTTGCCAGGCTGCTGAGTTGCCAAGAAGACCAAATACCCTTGCATTCTCCTAGTCATCCAGATCAGCACTCTGGCAAGTTTCTGAATTCTAGTTTTGAAAAGAAAACTTCTTTGGGGGTGGTTTAGGGAGATAAAGTGAGAACTGTAGTTATTTTTCTTGCACGACCCAACATTACTTTTTTTCCCAAAGAGTTAGAAGAGATGAGGCTGAGACACCAAGGAGGGACAGAATTTCTATTTCTCTGGCTTCCTTAAGGCAACAGAGGAAGCTTAGCAGCCACAGGGGTCTAGTTAATGAGGAGGTCATACAATATTCATTGTGTTGAGTTTAACTCTTCAAACAGAACCTCTAATTGTAAAAAGAAAAAAAGAAGCTAAATTACAGATGTGAAGACAACAAAGCTTGGGAATAACTCCCTCTGTAGATAAAACTGTCCTCTCCCGGCTTCCTCCACTAACTGCACATTGACGGAGGCACAATGAGTCCCTGTCCTCATCAGATATTCTCATTAGCTCTGCTCTGTCTGGGACATTCTCCAGGGCCCACAGAGGGCCACTGACAGGTCTGGGATGACGGTCTTCTCAGAGGACTGTTTTCTTGCTACCCACAGAAGGAGTGATCCAATTGTACTCTGCTTGAACCAAAACAAAACTGTTCTCCCCAACCTTCCTGACGTGCACAGTCTCACCACTGTCACTCCTGGCAACAGCATCTGAAGCTGGCTCACTAAAGGACACTTCTGTCCGCTGGTGGCAATACTGGGTATGCAGGTAGCGAAAGCCAGCGGCCAGGGCCATACCCAGGGTGGCTGACAGGCAAAGCAGAATTCCCAGCTGGGGAGTTCTGAGCTGGAATCCCAGAGGGGCCTGGGCTCTCTCTAGCCCAATGTCAGGCCGTGAGTTGGTCTGCCGAGGGTATCCCACTCCACCCTCCCCATCTCCCTTCCCTGCTCTGGGTTCCTTGTGCTTTGACTGAGGTAAGAAGCTGGCAGATGGCCTGAATGCCTCTGACTGGTCACCAGAAGCAGGTAGCCCAGAAGTGCCAGAGGTCTGGAGGACAGGGATTGGGTTGCCTGCCCCAGCCCCATTCCCTGTGAAAGTTTCAGAGGACCAGAGGCGCTGGGGATGGGTAAGCTGGACGGTGTACAGAGGAGGCCGTGTCATGGTCCTGTTAGAAGCCTTCGTCTTGTCCTAGAAAAATAAAGGGAAAAAAGAGTCTAAGGGACCGGTCTTCCTCCTAATCTGCCACTGAACTTTGTAACTAACTGGAATTCCTTAAAGATTCCCAGGTGGCAGCTGAAAACCCGATCTCTTGCTTGCTACCAAAGGAGCTCAGAGTAAAATACCCGACTAGATGCATATGCACTTATTAATGGGGACTGGGTGGCTAATGGAAACCCCACAGAGAACAAGGAAGCCAGTTACAAGAACAAGATTAGGGTCCTTTAAGAGGCTTCCAAACCAAAATATCAATGTGTGATTGCATCGTCTTCTATGGCTGAAAGCTTTGAATGTGTCTTTTTATGATAGGATCCATTCAAGAGGGATAATTTAACCCTACTGTAGGTTCTGATAAAGGTAAGTAAGAACATGACACCATGTTTTATTTCGTGTTCCTTGTAAGACTGTGAGTAGTAAATCAGTGGGCATTTATATTTTATATTGCCCATTGATCTAACTTCGGGGACCATACTTGGCCTTTTGAGGTCAACGTTATGAAGAAGGGATGGAGGAGGAGAGACGAGAATAATTATTAACTATGGCTAAGTGAAACGACAAACCACTGAAACATCAATTTCTACAATTGCTGAAAACTTCAGAGACAGTCCATATAATGGAAAGGTATTGATTAGTAGAAAGACACTGTGTATATGATACTTTGCCTTCTTCTCTCTGACTTTGGCTACTAGTCTAATAGCTCTGCTTTCTCAGCCTGAAACAGGCCAGTCTGGGATCAAAATACCAATAGCAAGCCCTCTCCACAATTCAGGCTCTTACCTGTTCACCCCCATCTGAGGACAGGCAAGTTTCCAGTGAATCAAAGCTGGGATCATCCTGAGTTCTAAAGGAAAGAATGTAAGGGCTGAAAACAAGTCATTAAGTTTTGGACCAAAAAGCCATGTTTTCTAACACTGTCATGTATAAAGATGGCATCAGATTCACTTGAAAAACTTCTGAGTTTCGAGTCGGGAACCATAGGGAAGAGGAAGGGAAGAGATGAGTGAGAATGGTGGCAAAGAATTCACCAAATGCTATCATCGCTTATTATTTCATATAAAATATACATTTCTATATTACATGATTATAAATATATTTAAAATATAAAAAGTCACAGTTTAGCTTTTATTTTATTTATAACAACATCTCAGAGATCTCACCCCATCCAAGAGAATAATTTCCCTGGGTAATTATCATACACAGTCCTTCTGACCACTAACCCTTCTACATTCTGGGTTTTTCACATACTTAAGAATAAATAGATCTTTTTTGTCAGACTCCAAATGTAGCCCTCCAGCATTCAGCCTCATCCCACCACCTGCCCGAATGACCCACCCATCACCCTTACCTGTGATGGGCGCTAAGGCTGGAAGCAAAGCCCTCTAAGTAGACTCTCCTGAGGGCCACAAGCCTCTCCAGCCTGTGGACCTCCAGGGATGGCTCTAGGGTTGGATTGCTGTCCCGCTGAGTTGCTGGCCCATGCTGCCTTCAGTGGCGGTGTGTGAAGATGGTTGGGACAGAGTCTCTGTATCCCCAGGAAACTTTGTCACCCAAATACTGGCAGAAGCAGGATCTAGGTTATCTTCCTCTGCAGCTCCAGGAAGGGCAATGGCAAAGACATGTGTGCGCTGCTGTGGAAGAGTGATGGGGGCCCTGGGAGCTAAGCAGAGGTTCAAAGACAGCACAGAGTGAGTGAGTGCGTTTTCCCCATATCGATTGGTACAAACAGCTATGATCAGGGGTAAACAGCAGTGACTCTAATGTGCCCCAAGGAGAGACCATTAAGTGTGAGGCACTTAAAAGTGTCAGCATAAAGATGACCTGACTGATCATACAAGCCCCTGACCATGCAAAGGCTTATATCTTTTTAGAGAGTGAATCCCTGGCCTTTCTGGGCTTGTACCTTCTCAACAGCCATCATTCAGGGAACACAGAAAGCACTGTGACCACTGTATTTATTTTACCTCTGCCAAAAACTGCTTCAGGCTGGGGAAAAAGAAAGTGGAATCCCACAAATCAGATTTTTCAAAGCCCTAGATCAGGCATCCCCAAACTTTTTACACAGGGGGCCAGTTCACTGTCCCTCAGACCGTTGGAGGGCCGCCACATACTGTGCTCCTCTCGCTGACCACCAATGAAAGAGGTGCCCCTTCCTGAAGTGCAGTGGGGGGCCGGATAAATGGCCTCAGGGGGCCGCATGCGGCCCGCAGGCTGTAGTTTGGGGACGCCTGCCCTAGATCTTTCTTGCCCTATTATTAACACCCAAGGTTTCTTTCCCTGGTGATAATGACTTGAACATCTGTATGGGCAGAGACGAGGTCACTGCCCTCCCCTGCCCTTCACCATCTCATTTCCCATGTGTGACTGGCTAACATGACAGCCCAGAGCATGAGAAAAGAGCTTCGCACAGAGCAGCGAGCAAGCAAGCACAGGTTTTAGAGTCAGATTCTTGTCTGGGTTCAGTTCTCCACTCTGCTAATTCCTGGCTTTGGAGAAGTCCTCCTGGAGCATTAATTTCTGCTTTTGCAAAATGAGACCAGCATAGAATTACTGAGGGGGTGATGCGCACTCATTGATGTGGAAGCATGAAGCAGGTCCCTGGGATACAGGCACACAGGCAACATTCACAGAGGGTTTAGCGCAATGATGATGAAGATGACATGATGGCATTGACAAAAACGGTGTTGGCAGAAGTTTCTCTGGCCAGAGCTCCAGATTGGATTGAACCTTCTTTTACGGAGGTGGAGAAGGGACCCCTTTGCTCTGATGTTTTTAAGCCTCAAAAATGTTGAGGTACAGAACAAAGCAGCCTAGCTCAGACATACAGAACCTGGTGAACTGACAGTTTCCAATTCCTGCCTGAACTCTAAGAACATCTGAATACTTCCTGCAGCCCCACTGCGTGCTGGGCATTGTTATAGTTGCTGGAAGGGCAAACATAATGCAGACTTGTAATTGGTGTCCCTGAACCCAGACCTAGGAAGACAGACCCTTACATGTCAAACTACCTAAATTAAAACCAGAGGTCGGGCACTTACCTTGGTAATCCTAGCACTTTGGGAGGCCGAGGCAAGTAGATCACCTAAGGTCAGGAGTTTGAGACCAGCCTGGACAACATGGGGAAACCCTGTTTCTCTACTAAAAATACCAAAGTTAGCAGGGTGCAGTGCTGCGTGCCTGTAATTCCAGATACTCGGGAGTCTGAGGCAGGAGAACCCGCAAGGCAGGGGTTGCAGTGAGCCGAGATGGCGCCACTGAACTCCAGCCTGGATGACACACTGAGACTCTGTCTCAAATAAATAAATAAGTATATTAATTAATTAATACCAGAGCTAAGGAAGCAATTATACTTGCTGCTATGGTCTTAATGTATCCCTCTTAAAATTCGTATGTTGAAATCAAACCCCCAATGCAATAGTGTAAAGAGGTGGGGCTTTTAGCAGCCGCTTAAATCATGAGGGTGGAGCCCTCATGAATGGGATTAGTAGCCTTATAAAAGAGGACTGAGGGAGCTTTCTCACCCCTTCCACCATCTGAAGACACAGCAAGGAGGTGCCATCGCTGAAGCACAGATCATCCATCCCTCACCAGACACTGAAACTGTGGGCACCTTCATGTTGGACTTCCCAACCTCCAGAATGTAGGCAATAGATTTCTACTGTTTATAAATTATTCAGTCTAGGGTATTCTGTTATAGCAGCTGGAATAGACTAAGACACTTGCCTACCAAGTTTGAGGAAGTTTCACAAAGGAGCTATTTGAACTGTGCCTTAAAATTGTCATGTGGAACAGTCCAATTTGAGGAAATGTCAGAAGGGAAGGCACTGAAATAAAAAGTAGACCATATCTAACGGGGTGGATGAAGACCCAAAGTGTCTTGGTCTATTGGGAGATAAGTTCCAGATATCAATATACTATTTCCCCAATTTAAAAAATTTATAGTTTATGCTTGCCTACTAAATTCTCTGTACAGTTAAGAAATCTATTTCACTTTATTAGATGAAATAAGGTGAAATATATATATATATATTTTTTTTTGAGATGGAGTTTTTCTTGTTACCCAGGCTGGAGTGCAATGGCGCAATCTCGGCTCACTGCAACCTCTGCCTCCCAGGTTCAAGCAATTCTCCTGCCTCAGTCTCCTGAGTAGCTGGGACTACAGGCGCACACCACCATGCCCAGCTAATTTTTGTATTTTTAGTAGTAACGGGGTTTCACCATGTTGACCAGGATGGTCTCGATCTCTTGACCTTGTCGTGATCCACCCACCTTGGCCTCCCAAAGTGCTGGGATTATAGGCGTGAGCCACCGCGCCCGGCCATGAAATAGATTTCTTAACTGTACAAAGATAAACTTCCCAGTTTACACACACACACACACGCACATGCATGCATACATGTTTCTTTTTCCTTTGGGAATCACTAGGGTTTGGGTAGTGGAATGAATGGGACAGACAAGCTGGGGCCAGAAGGAGAGGAATGTGGGCAGTGTAATGAGGAGGGTACCCTGGAAACTGCTCGGGCTGGAGGCTATGAGCCCCAGCAAGCAAGACTTCCAGCAGGGTCAGGCAGAGACAGGCCCCAAGGCTCCACGTGACACTTCTTCCTGAAGCTTCACTTGTATTCACATTCATGTTCAAACAAACATGGTTATACTTGGGATTAAAACATGACATTTGCATCATTCATAAAATAAAATATGAGATTTCAACAATATGTCAGGGGTGCAGAGTCTCCCTAGGCCACGCTCTCAGGCTCTGAGGTCTTTACTCTGCTTTTAGGAGGGTCTCGGTGCGAAGGCTGGAGGAGTTGTGCTGGGCAGCGGGAGAGTCAAAGGTTTTGGGGCAAAGGCAGAGAACGGAGGGTGGTCCCCACTGTCTCTGTACCTGGGTGTGCTAGACTGAGAAGAGGCAGGGATTCTGATGAGATTCTGGCCTTAACATATTAGCAAAGAATAAAGGTAAGAATAAAGGAGAACGAATGGATGAAGCGTAGGGTCTTGTGTGCATGTGCCTGGACGCCTTTCTGAGTGCTTGTGTTCATAGCACTTAACTGGAAATAACAATAAAGAGAAGTTGCATACCACCAGGGATTTTCAGGTAGGTCAAATCGCCTCCAGCTGGCTAGAGGTTTTCCTTTGTTTCCTTTTCTTTTCTTTTTTCAGGAGTTTATGGACTAACGGAGTAGAAAGCCATGTAGTGACCAAGGAAAACATCCCTTCCCATGGAAACGGTGATTCCTGATTCTGTTCTCCAACCCAGGCTGCAAAGGGCCACCTACCTACCATGAAAAGTAACAATAAAAACTGGATGTGTTTTTATGAGAAAAGAAAAAGAAAAGCTCATTTCCTTTTTGTGCTCCCTGTGTAGCTTCGGGGGAACTAAGGAGAATGGCTGAAATACTGCGCGGACTAGTAAGTGTGGGGAAGAGGTGTGTTTTTAGGTATTGCAGCACAGCTCTCGCCGTCCACCCCGGGGCCTGACTTAATTTGTTAGGTTGAGCCAGACAAAGTGTGTTTGCTGCAACAGACAGAGCAGCTGCGAGCGTTCCCTCCCTTCACTGCGGCGCTGTCACGTCCCGGAGAACTGCTGCAGTTGGCCACGGCGTGTGTTTATTGCTTGTTTTGCAGGGACAGGAAACTGGCAGCAGTAACTTTTAAGTGAAAATAGATAACTGTAAAAATAATGATGACAACCAGGCTGGCGAGAACAATGACAAGCTATACCTGGGGCAGCTCCTTCAACATGAGCCAGCCTCTGGTGAAGGGTTGGCATCGGTAATCTGGGCTCCACGCGGTCGTCAGAAAGGGCGCTGCCAGGTGTCTGTTGAGACACAACAGATGATTCAATCCTCGCCCAGTAAACGAAATATGACTGGACTACCGATAAACTGCGGAAAGAGAAAGAGCAGAGCGGTCCACGGAGTTAGTTTCCTTTAAATAATACCTCAGGCCCACCTCATAGAAAAGAGAACACACTAACAGATACAAAGGAACAAAAGTCTAAGTAAATGGAAGAACAAGAGAGATTATGTTTTTATTCTCTGAGCAACTTCATTCTTTTTAAAAGCAAAAACTCTGTAGCTGCAAATAATTAGAAGAGGAGAGGATATGAACAAATCAATGACCCTCTTGAATAAATACAGTCACTCAAAATCTCATTTTCACTAAAAAGTATCTCCTTAAACTGTTAAGACTCCAGTAAGAGGTTTTATCTTCAATGTTATTATTAGCCATTCCTGATATACTGTGATCACATCATGATTTGAAGATCTCATAACTTTGTTGTATAATTGTACATGTCTATTGTAATTATAGATACTATTGGAAATTTGAGATAAATTCTTATTTTGTAAATAATTTTTTGAAAAATAATTCTTCAGTAAAAATTGTTTTCACAAACATTATGCCATTTATTCTTCCAAATATTTCAGTGAAGGAGGGATTATTGGCAAATATCATTTTTCCCACTTTAAGTATTCAGGAGGCAGTCACAACAATGTGACGAATTTGGCTGAGGTCACCCAGAGGCTGGAGACGCAGTGAGAGTCATGGTTCAGGCCTCCAACATGCGACTTCCAGCCTCGGCGGACGCTATTGTGGGCAAGAGTTCCTGGAGGTGGGAGATCACAGGGTGACTTGGGAGAAGCATCTCATCAAGTGACAGCTCCTCTCTTCTGCCAGATGGAGATCATAGCTTCTACACTACTTGCTATGTGGTACACAGCAGTTATGATGGTAAATCCAAAAATACGAATGGAGGTGCTTTGTGTGCAGGTTTAAGGACTTCAAGCAGCGGATGCCCTCTGCACTGGGTATGAACCAACGTCAAGGGCAGACGCTAGGCTTACCCACAGGTAACCCTGCCCTGGACCTTCCAAACAGGCAAGATTGTAAGGTACAGTGTTTCCCTTCTTGCTGTCCTATCTGCTGCCCTGGACCACCAGGAACCAGGAAGAAGGAACACCACAGGCTAGGACCACCAACCTCCTTTCCCACTGCTCCCCAGAGCAGAGGGGAGTCCTGGAGGGGAGCCCGTGCCCGGGGCAGCCTCTGCCTGCATGCGCAGTCTCTTTCATATTTAGGAGGGTATGAAGGAAAGAAACAGAAACATACACGCTTTCCTGAAAGAAAATAATTCTCCTTCTTTGTAAATGCAAGTGTCTGAAAAGAATGACAAAACAAGCACCTCATTTTGAGTAGCAATGATGCTTTTAAAGTGCTCACTGTTGCCAGGAACTGTTCTGAGTGCTCTGCGAACGTTGGCTCTCATCCACCACACGCTCGGGAGGTAGGTGCTGTGGTTATGCCCATTTATAGACAATAAGCCAGGGCACAGAGCCTTAAGAGGTTTTCTCTGGGCCCAGGGATGTTTCCATTTGTCCATCTGCCTGTCTCTCTCGTCTTGGCTCTCTCCTGCTTTCACATCACCAGCCCTTCTGTCCTCTGGTCGGAAATTCCTGGAGAGGTTGGCCAAGAGTTACCTGTGCCTGGGGAGGCAGGGAAATAATACACCCTAGGCCCATGGATAGTGACGAAGGGACAAGTTTGGGGGCAACATTGTTTTTAGTTTCCCTCTGCATAGGGTCTCCAGGTTAGGCAGCCCCTGTGACCCTGACCTTGCTATAAGGTGGCCATCTAAGGAGGGGGAAAGGAAGTGTGAAGGCAGGGCAAAGAGAAGCTCCCCTCTCTGCAAACTAGAAGACTCAGTTTCCAAGAAACAGCACTTCACTCTCTTACAGGAATTTAATGTCCCCCACAGGCTGGGCAGGGGCCTTCCACATGAATGACAGGGTTCTCTTCAGGGACTTGTCAGAGTGGGTGACTGCATCAGCCGCTTGAACACAAGTCATCAGTTTGGAACGAGGAGGAGTGAAAACAAAAGTGCCAGTGACTTGGTGATCAGACACTCTTCGAGCCTGAAGTAGAAATCCCATGAAGTCACGACTGCTTCTCACCGTCACTGCAACAAAAAACACCCATTCACGATGAACATGTATGACTTAGTTCCATTTGTTGATTTTATATAGGTTTTTTTCAAAACTGAAAGCTGAAGATTAGCCCCCAGAAAGTGAACAATTCATTAGGGCGGAAAAAAGTTGAAGTCCTATTTCACAACAAAATAAATTCCATTTGGATGAAAGGTATGCAAAAATGAGATGAAAAATAACTGGAAGCTTTTTTTATTTTTACAAATATTAGATTTGGAAGTGCCTCTCTGAGCAAAACCCAGCTGCCATAAAGGAAAAGTTGAGTAAAGCATGCCGTATTTTTTCAAATACGAGTTTAGTTAACTCAGAAGGACAGATGATTAAAATAAATTCTTTCCGAAAGAAAAGTATTTGTAAGACATAAAAGAGACAAATACTCATAGTCATGGTGAATCCATAAAAAGATGATCCCCCCTCAAAATAATGAAAGGATATGAACAGAAACTAAAACAAGCTCAGTAATAATTTTTTCATTTTTGAGACGAAGTCTAGCTCTGTCGCCAGGCTATAGTGTAGTGGCGCGATCTTGGCTCACTGCAACCTCCGCCTCCCAGGTTCAAGAGATTCTTCTGCCTCAGCCTCCTGAAACAGGGTTTCATCACATTGGCCAGGATAGTCTGGATCTCTTGACCTCGTGATCCACCCACCTCAGCCTCCTAAAGAGCTGGGATTACAGGCATCAGCCACCCTGACCAGCAGCTCAGTAATAACTTTTAAAGCAATTATAAATGAGACACTATTTTATACCTTTTATATTAGCAAAGGTTATGTGTGGTTATAAACACAAGCTTGATAAAACTAAGGAAAAACCAGGGCATTCATTCACTAGTGCTGGAACTATAAACCATCCAACTTTTTGTGGTGTAACCTGACAACATCTTCCACATTTAAAATGCACTTACCCCTCTGATACATGCTACATTATTGATTAACCCTGAAAACATGGTAAGTAAAATAAGCCAGACCCAAGATGACAAATATTGCATGATTCCGCTTATGTGAGGTAACTAGAGGAGTCAAACTGACAGAGACAGAAAGATTTAAAGTTAGCTGGGGCTGGGGGTAGGGAAGGATGGCCAGTACAGAGTGTCCTCCTGGGATGATGGAAAGTTCTGGAGATGGATAGTGATGATGGTTGTACAACATTGTTAATGCACTTGATGTCACTGAGCTGTATATGGTTATCTTGGTAAATTTTAAGATATATATATATATATTATATATATATATATATATATATATATATATATATATTTGCACAATAAAAGAAACACCCTCCAAAAATCATTACTTTTTGATCTAGAAATTTTGCATCTAGGAATTTTCCCCACTGACAAACTTGTACAAATAAATATGGCAAACACTGATGTCCAATACCCAACAGCAATTGTCCGCTTATTCCCTGCTAGTGGAACAGATGGTTCTGCTAACAGAACCCAGATGTTACATTCACATGGCAAGTGGAGACCACCTGTCTTCAGGAAAGCTAGGCCTCTCCCTTTCCCCAGGGCATGAACTGTGATTAGACTAAAACCAGTATTGGTGATTCTGTTCCCCTTCACCACATAGAATTCTCTGCAATGAGGCAAAGTCTGCTGAGAGGGCAGCTAATGTCTAAGGATCAATCTTTTCATGTAAAACCTTTATTCCTCTGTCATCCCAGTGTGAGGGCTAAAACCATGGCACTCGTCCTGAAACTGTGCAATGTCAAAGGAATGAAAACTCAACTCACTGATGATGGCGGAGCAGGAAAATGGGAAAATCTTAGGAAATTCTAGATGATGTCACTGAATGGTTTCCCCCAATACAGAAACTGTGCCTCCAGACTTAAGGGAGAAAATTAAATGCCTTTATTTGTTACATTTGTGTTAATCAGCTTTTCTGATACTTGGAGCTGAAACAATCCTGATGCATACAGTGAGCAATGACATATGAACAAAGATGTCCATCAAGGCTGGGCATGGTGGCTCATGCCTGTAATCCCAGCACATTGGGAGGCCGAGGCAGGCGGATCACCTGAGGTTGGGAGTCTGAGACCAGCCTGACCAACATGGAGAAACCCTGTCTCTACTAAAATACAAAAAATTAGCTGGACCTGGTGGCACATGCCTGTAATCCCAGCTACTTGGGAGGCTGAAGCAGGAGAATTGCTTGAACCCAAGAGGCGGTTGCAGTAAGCTGAGATGGTGCCATTGCACTCCAGACTGAGCAAGAAGAGTGAAATCCATCTCAAAAAAAAAAAAAAAAAAAAAAAGATATCTATCAAAACTGTTTATGAAAAAAACTTTTGAAAGTAAATACCCATAAATAAGAAACTGGTTAAATCAATCATGTGACCGCTAGATAATGGATTGTCATAAAATCATTAAAAAGAAGCTCTGTATCCAATAAAAGATGTCAATCTGATTGTTAGGTATAAAAGTTAAACAGACATTTAATTTGTGTCTGCTTAAGGTTATATTATGAGATCTCACTCACATGTTTATATATTTGGAAAGTTTCTGAAAAGAGGAGCAAGAAATTTAACAAGGTTACCTTTGGAGAATCAAACTGAGTGTTCAGAGCAAGAGAAGGAAAAGCACTTAATTTTCTACCTTTTGATACTATTCTAACATTTTTAAAGTATGTAATATATTTAAGCTATTTAAAAAAAATTTTTTTAACTTTCCACTCATTTTCAATGGAATGAGTGGCTAAAATCAGGATGAGACCTTTATAAGTTTGCTAAATGCAGCTTGGTGTCCAGGATTACTTTATTTTCCATGCATTTGAACTTTTATTAATAAACATTTTAACAAATATTTACAACTATTGAACATCAGGCCCTATGCTAGGTTTTGAGTATATATCTATAAACAGGATAACATGGTCCTTACGTTCAAGGAACTCACAGATCCCAGCAAGAAAACAGTATACTTACAACATAAGTAAGTAATAACTGACTCTCATTGAATCCATGAGGCACTCCGTCAAGTCATTTATTACATATAGTGAAATAGTTACTATAGTCAAGCAAATTAAAATATCCATCATCTCATCGAAGTGTCTGTTGATGGATGAATTTAAGTTTTAAATAATGAGAAAAAAGTATATTTCACACACATACGTGATACATGAAAATTATTCATAGAAACTATATTTGTGTCTGTAGCAAGATATTTATATCTTATGATAAGGACAAAATACTTTTCTATAATAATGATATTTGTACCTTCTTACACAGATCATAATCAATACAGAGATTTGTTATCACGTGGCTTTTACGGCACAAATATTTTATGCTTATTTTTAACCAGATAATTGCTTTTTAACATTAAACCAGGACAGGCAAAGTGGCTGGTACCTATAATCCCAGCACTTTCGGAGGCCATGTCAGGGGGTTCACCTGAGCCCAGGAGTTTGAGACCAGACTGGGAAACATACCAAGACCTTGTCTCTAAAAATAAAATAAAATAAAATAAAATACAAAAAATTAGCAGGGCACAGTGGCACGTGCTTGTAGTCCAGGATTCTTGGGAGGCTGAGGTGGGAGGGTCACTTGAGCCCAGGAGTTCCAGACCAGCCTGGGCAACATTGTGAGACTCCATCTCTACCAAGAAAAAAAAAAGGATTAAGCCAGACTTAGTCCAGGAAGCTTCTGACTGGGAGAAACACAAACTGGGGTTCTGTCCATGGGGTTCTGGGGCTCCTCTGTGTCTCTCAAGGCCTCTCCGGTACATACCTGGAATCTTGTCACCTGGTGCATAGGAAGACCTGCCAGTGTGGATAGTGACGTGGCGAGTGTCCTGGGGCTGAGGCTGGGCTCGGATGTGCTTGGGCTGCATGTCCTCACAGGCCTTCATGCTGGCACCATGGGAAAAGGCAGACGAGCAGGAAGCCAGGCAGAGGGTGGTACAAGCCCAGCCCACAAGACCAGCCCACATCCTCATCCTGCCCTCTCCTGTATCATGACAAACAGTAGCTTCAGTCCAGATGCTATTTAGAAAAATGACATGACGTCTTCTTGGGATGTCACCTGAACCCCACACTGCCTCTGCACCTGAGATGCTTTTAGTGCAGCTTCCCAGGATTGCTAATGCTCAAGGCCAAGATCAACAAGAAACGCCAGGCTATGGGAAGTGTTTCATTTCCAAACACCTTTTTAAAAACTTCTATTCTTATCATTTTCTCATAAGGCCAGACTGTGTGTGTGTGTGTGTGTGTGTGTGTTTAAGATAGGTTTTAATTAAAGAAATAAAATCAGAAAATGTTTGTATCCTAGTGTGAACTCCTTACGAGCTGACTGGTACCCAAGGGCAGTGTGAGCCCTGATACATCTTTGCTGCAGTAGACACTAAATATACCACTATGGTCAGGCGGCATGTCATGGGGGCGCTGGGCTGAATGTCTTATCTCTGCTACAACTGAAAATTACCAAGTTAAGTGCTACAAAATATCTGCCACTATCAATTATTTGGAGGTGACTGTTAACTTGGCAGTACTTTGATATCTCTTTGTCTTTTCCTTGGCTGTTTTTAGCTATTTCACTCCTTTTAGTAAAGAAGATGAGCAGAGAAAGAAATAATTTATTCTGTACCTTCTTAAACATACTGATAAAAATTTTGGCTCAGGAATAGAATACAATGATTGAATAAAATATTTTTGTTGGGCCAGGTGAAGTGCCTCACGCCTGTAATCCCAGCACTTTGGGAGACTGAGGCAGGTGGATCACAAGGTCAAGAGATCGAGACCATCCTGGCCAACACAGTGAAACCCCATCTCTGCTAAAAATGCAAAAATTAGCTGGGTGCGGTGGCTCATGCCTGTAATCCACCTACTCAGGAGGCTGAGGAAGGAGAATCGCTTGAACCTGGGAGGCAGAGGTTGCAGTGAGCCAAGAATATGCCATTGCACTGCAGCCTGGTGACAGGGCAAGATTTCATCTCAAAAAAAAAAAAAAAAAAAAAAATTGTTTATTACCTGTAATTCCCAACAACAGGAAGAATTAAAATCTGGCAATGTAAAAGAAGTTGACAAAAATAAAATGAGAGACAGCAAAAAAGGCAGATGAAAATTTGCCTATGTAAGTATTTAGAATTATCACAGGAATTTTTTTAAGAGTTTTGTTTTTGTTTTTTTTATAGACCTGCACAATGCATTTTAGATGTTTGGCTAATATTTTCACCAAGGGAAATATTACTAGCCCTCCCCTCTAGTAAACTGGTTTTAAAAAGTAAAAATAAAATCCTGAAAATGTAGTGAAACTAGCTATAAAGACCACAGACTAAGGAAATCGTCCATAAACCAAATAGTCAAGTGTTGTCCACTGCCATTGTCTCTTCACATACCTCCCCCTTTTACATTCACAAACTAAAAGAAGACAGGAATATAATCTACACTTCCAATTTCTTAGGCTTAAGAGTTCTTCGGACAGTGCCTTTCTTTTCTAAGTTTGTTTTCTATAAGGCACCAAAGTCACACATCTCCATACTACAAGGAACCATTGCTACAGCTTCTCAGACACATTAAGAGATAATGGAGATGAACGGTAACAGCAGATTCTCAATCAAGGGGGCTCAGGGTTCTTCTCATTTTTTTTCACAAGGGCCACATAGAAATATCCCTCGAGGGGTGGGGAGATTGGGGAGGGATGATATTAGGAGAAATACCTAATGTAGGTGACTGGGGAATGGAGGCAGCAAACCACCACGGCATGTGTATACCTATGTAACAATCCTGCAAGATCTGCACATGTACCACAGAACTTAAAGTATAATGAAAGAAAGAAAGAAAGAAAAAGAAAAAGAAAGAAAGAAAGAAAGAAAGAAAAGAAAGAAAGAAAGAAAGAAAGAAAGAAAGAAAATGCCCCTCAAATGCCAGGCACAGTGGTGCACATCTATAGTTTCAGCTACTCAGGAGGCTGAGGCAGGAGGATCACTTGAATACAGGAAGTCGAGGCTGCAGTGAGCTATGATCACATCACTACACTCCAACCTGGACAGCAGAGCAAGATCCTGTTTCTTAAAAGAAAAGAAAGAGGCTGGGCATGGTGGCTCATGCCTGTAATCCCAGAACTTTGGGAGGCCAGGGTGGGTGGATAACCTGAGGTCAGGGGTTCAAGACCAGCCTGGCCAACATCATGAAACCCTGTCTCTACTAAAAATAAAGAAAATTAGCCAGGCATGGTGGTGTATGCCTGTAGTCCCAGCTACTCGGGAGGCTGAGGCAGGGGAATGCCTTGAACCCGGGAGGTGGACGTTGCAGTGAGCCAAGATCGCACCACTGCACTCCAGCCCGGGCGACAGAGAGAGACTCTACAAAAAAAAAAAAAAAAAAAAGAAGAAGAAGAAGAAACGAAAATGCTCCTCAAGCCCTTGCTGATGGCAAGTGGTTTTCTTTCCAAAGGCAGATCAGACACCGGTGCCTACAAGGGAAGGGGAGTGAGTGCCTCATCTTACAGACTGACCACAGCTCCACCTCACACCTTCCTGCCATAGGTTCCACTGTGTCTTCTTTCCCACCAACATCTTGTCCACCTGAACCCTGAAAAACATCCACTTAGAGCTGCACACGGTGACTCACACCTGTAATCCCAGCACTTTGGGAGGCCGAGGCAGCAGGATCACTTGAAGCCAGAAGTTCAAAACCAGCCTGCACATCATAGGGAGAACTGATCTCTACAAAAATTTAAAATAAATAAATAAAAAGAAGACACCCACTTACCTAGGAACATGCTTTCCTTCAGGCTTGATAGAATGGCTTCCCCCCTCAGAGTTGCAAACACATCCCTTAAACAAAAGTATTTTCTTCTCTTTTCAGTTTTTCCTCTAATGGGGAGAATAACAGCTGTTACCACTAATCCTCAGCATCTCCAGGAACTGTCCCTCAGTGTCTAAATCCAGCCTAAATCGTATTAGTTTCTCCAAAACCATGCACACACACTCACACATGCTTTACAGTCGCATCATTGTTCAAGCCTGTGTGAAGAACTAGAAAGAACTGGAACTGGTTTCGCACAGGACTAGCATGGACATCCTTGGCAGAAGCTGGATGCCTCCATCTTGATCTCTCTGCCAAGGGGAGAATGTTTGAATGAAACGTGTCGCAGCCTTCTTGGCTTCTTGAGTCAGTGTGGACTGAAGTTACTCTTGGTGAAGCAGAATTGACACATTAGCCCAAAGCAATGTTTGACACAAAAAAATAATACATGGCGTATGCACCTCCCATATCAACTGCACTAAAGCTGGAGTTCACATTTGCATGCATCTAAGACTCCACTGAGACACCTGATATCACCACAGAGCCTACAGACCAGTGGTCCTCAAAGTGTGGTCCCCAGCGTGCAGCCCGACATCACCTAGAAGCTTGCAACAGTGACAATGAAGACAAAGAAAGAGGAGTGGACTCAGGAGATCAGGTGGAGGCACTTAGTGGGATTTGGTGGCTGACTGAATGCAGGCTATCCAAGAGAGAATCCTAAGATTTATCAATCTTAGGTGCAGGGTGATGTGGAGAAGGAGGCTCCAGAGAGCGCAATGTTCTGACTCTTAGGCCTTGTCTCCACTCCAGAAAAACCTGAAGATATGAATGATTGAATAGGTGAGGTATTGGCTTAGAGACCAGGTTGCTAACCCTTCCCTTGCAAGTGTAGATGAGACTATCTATCCTGTAAACACCCAGGGAAGTTGGGCTTCCTTGGCCTGGGACTCCAGTATTCCCCACACGCAGAACAAAATCAAACAAATTCAGTCTGGTTTCACCAAGCCTCTATCCCACTGGGATAGAGGCCATCTCAACCTTCCACTGAGTCATGAGAAATTCTGGGAGGCCTAGAAATCAGGGTATGTGCCTTCCATGGCTGCTATTATAATAGTTTTCTGAGCTCATTTACTCACTTGAAGGCTGTTACTCGGAAGGCGTCTAGGCAAAAGCGGGGCTCAGGTCTTCGCAAGACTCTGGCCTGGGTGCTGAGAGCTCAGCCTTCCAGGTGCGCCCTGCGGCTTTTCTCTGCTGAGGTTCTCCCGCCCCTCCCCTGGGTCCTGACACGGACTCTGCTGCCAGCAGGAGAGTGGGTATCCTCTTCTCCACTCCGTTCTACTCCTGTCCCAGTTTCAGAGACAAAAGTGTCCCTCCTCTCCTTTTTTTTTTTACCCTCATCTTGTTAACCTGGGCCACCTGACATAATCCACCTACCTAGAGGTAGGGTGCTAATCCCCAACCCCCCTGCTTTGGCCCTGAAACACAAACTCCCCGGACACAGAGATTCCCAAAAGGCCCAACTACCAATTAGAATGAGGAGGGAGGTGCAAAGGTAGAGAGAACATACCTACATGGCTCAATAAATGATCCTGCCATTTGCTCATGTAATGTATTTCTTGTAGGAAACCCAGAGGACACCTTATCCTAGACATGGCCTTACCCTGCCTGCCACACCCACAGCCTCTGCTGAGCTGGCACTCTCCCCACAAAGCTGATTGTACCAGGGCAGGCACTTATCACTGGGGAGGGCCCTGCTGATGCAGGGCTGAGCCAGAAACTCTCCCTGGGAATCTGACCAAGAACACATAGAAGGCTGCTCTATACCAGTGCTGGCCAATAGAAATAGACTACAAGCCACACATGTAATTTAAAAATTTCTATGCAAGATGCATGGCTCATTCCTGTAATCCCAGCACTTTGGGACCCCAAGATGGGCAGATCACCCAAAGTCACGCGTGCAAGATCAGCTTGGCCAACATGGTGAAAACCTATCTCTACCAAAAAATACAAAACTTAGCCATTGTGGCACATGCCTGTAGTTCCATCTACTTGGGAGGCTAAGGCAGGAGAATTGCTTGAATATGGGAGGTGGAGGTTGCAGTGAACTGAGATCATGCTGTTGCATTCTAGCCTCAGTGACAGAGTGAGACCTTGCCTCAAAAAAAAAAAAAAAAAAAAAAAAAAAAAAAAA